AAGCCTTTGTCTTTTCAATGGTATTGAAGATACTATCCTTAAGGTGAACTTTTTTAGCTTTATAATCTTTATGAAGGGATAGTTCTAGTCATAGCATTTATAACAAGCTGCAGTTACCTATTCTTATTTTCTGTGTCCTCCACAAGAGAAGGGACAAGGTTCTTGTCCATCCTGTGTACCAGGGTATCCCCAGCATCCATCAGAGGGTCTGGCACCTAGTAGATATTCTGCAACTCTTCTGTTCAATGTTTGAAGCATGGTTAATAAGTAATGATAGTCTTAAACAGATTGCCTAGTTTAGTTCTGATTTAATGCTTCTCATTTGTAAGTATGCTTTATGATTTTTTATCCCATCTCAGAATTTTCTTAGGAAGCAGTGACCATATATTAGTGTTTTGGTAGTTTGTCCTATAAAAACTCCTTTGTTTGGAAGTTAAAGAAGAACAAATCCTTAGTTGGTAGGGTAGTAGTATGGTGGCAGCACCACTAGACTTAGAGTTCATAGGGGCCTGGTGTTCCTATAAGCTCTGTGATCTTAGACCAAGTCACCGAACCTCTCCCAGACTGACAGAAGTGACAGAGCCTAACTTATAGGATTTTTGTGAGGATTAAGTGGCAATGTAAAGCCCTCTAGTGCAGTACCCAGCACATGATGAGTGCTTGGTAAATGTTAGCTGCAACTAGTACGTAATTCTATTTGATGGATGTTGAAAATAGTGAAGTAGATTTATGAACTATTGGCCGATGTGGCCATTTTTAAGAAATAGCTAGTGTTTATTTGAACTGCTAAAACCCATTTTGAAATCTTGATCTTCTAATTATTAGACAAATCATCTTCAACATGAAACTTAAGAGTAATCCTAAATTTTTGCAACTAGAAAAATAGTCTGTTAAAGGCTGATAGGAAATGACACTCTTGCTCTTTTTAATTTTAAAGCACAGACACAGGTTTTTTGCTAATCAAAAGTATGTAGTCTGGAATAACATGTTTAATTCTGATATCACATGTCATCAGCACTTAGAGATTTATCCAGATTTCATTCACACAACAAATTTTGAGCGCCTGCCACATCTGGCCGTGGGCATGTACACTGCAGAGCCAGTCGTGTGGTCTTGGGGTTTACAGCCTACCAGAGGGTCCAGATGAGTAGGTGGAAGCAAAATGGCATTTACGGTACAAAGTATGATGTGTGCTGAGTGGTATCCAAGTGTTGTGAGAGCATTTCAGAAAGCGTAAACTAGGTTGAGGAGAGGAGAGGAGGTGGATAGGAGAGGTTCTCCAGGGCAAGTCTTGAAGGATGAGCAGGTATTTGCCAATTGGTAGATGAGGGTTTTGGCAGAGTTTCTATTTTCATAATTTTATTGCTTTAGCTAATTGCAGGGAATTTAAGAAGCTTTGGGACCATGTTGTTTTTAATGAGCACTGTTCTTCAGATATAAAATCTTGATTTGTTCTGGAAAAACTGCATTTAATCCTTATTGCACATTAAGAATAATTTTTAATTGTTAGCAGTATTGCTTTTTACTTACCTGTACACTTCACTCAGAGGATAAACAGGAAAACAGAATAAGAAAACTCATAGACTATGTCTAAAGGTGGTAGTGGGAAGCCTCCAAAACCAGTAAATATTTACATTAGCAACATTGACTTAATCTGGTGGCATCGATTTAATGATAGCATTCATATTAAAAGTACAGCCTTCCTTCCGTATAGGTGTAGATTAATTATTGCACGCTCTCTTGAAAGACTTAAAGTGGACTGTTCATTCACAAATGTGGGGCTCTGCTGAAAAAGATTGAGGTTGAAAACCAGAAGCTTCTAGGAGTCCCCTCCTATCCCAAAATAAAAGTTTCCTGCTGGGCAGTCTGCCCAAGCTTCTGGCTGACTTGTGGTATAATTGCTAATGATTGGGGTTTTCTGGCCAGTGAAGCAGGAATCCCACTGTCTTTCCATCAGGAGTGTTTCTTGAGTTCTCCACTGTGTGTGTCAGGAGAGAAAATTACTGTGGTTCTAGAAAAACCATTTTTTATTGCTCAGTTGCTGTAGTATTATAGATGTGTCTCTTTCATGTCTTCCCTCGAAAATTATCATCACTGTGCTTTCCTCTTCGTTGCTTCTCATTTCATAATGTTTTGATCAGAAGGAGACTGGCTGTGGTTTGCTTCAGTTACATATTTTGGGGTCCAAAGCAGTGATTTGCTCAAGGCTACAGAACCAGTACAGAAGCTTGGGGCTGGCTCCCAGTTCCACTGCTCTTTCAGCACTTTCTCCTCATTGCGTGCTTGAAGAGTTTGGCCCTTCCCTCTTGCCGTCTTTTCTTGTGTACTGTCTTTCATTGAAAAAGTAAAACCCCTCTACACGGTGTTGGGTTTCTGTTCAAAACTTTTCTTCAGCGAACTCAGGGTTTCGGTGGCTATTCAGGCTGAAAAATGGCTTTGCCTAGGACAATATTTCTCAAACTTGGACTCAGCCATATTTAATGGAAAAAAATTCTCAGCAGACATCAGGTTTTTCATTTGTAATTTTTATCACTCTGTAACATTAGATATTTACAGAACTACGCTAGATACAAACCGGTTAAACTTACTGCTTTTATTCACTTAATAGGCTGAATGATTTTATAAGTTGAATATAAAGCCTTCAAAACTGATAACATTTAAATTAGCAACAATAATTTAATCTGATGGGTTTTGTGGTTTTGCTAAAACTAAATCACTTTATATTGGGTTTAATGGTTGAAGGATGTAACTTGACATTCTATATTTAGTCTGGTCCTGTGATTTTGGTTCAGTTCTAATTCGTAGAATGCCTGCTTTCATAAATCTTTTGTACAAAACAAGTATTAAGACCGATTGCAAGTTGCGAATAATCAGTCCCTGTATTTAACCATACCCTACCAGCAAGCAGGCCACTTTATAACTGTAAGGATAAGGTAAAATTAGCAATTCAGTGCTATTTAATCTGTATTTAGTGACTGTCTAATCTGCTATAACTGGAATCAAAACAAAATTTCATTTCCTGCCTACCTGCTGATAAATGAACTGTTACAGGGCTGGAGTGCTTTACTTTGATAGTGAGTAGAACTCGGGTACTCCGATGTGGGCAACACGTAGTGCTGTACCAGTATTTCTTTCTTTCTTTCTTTCTTTCTTTTTTTTTAAAGATTTTATTTATCTGACAGCGAGAGAGGGAACACAAGCAGGGGGAGTGGAGAGGGAGAAGCAGGCTCTCCACGGAGCAGGGAGCCCGAGGCGGGGCTCGATCCCAGGACCCTGGGATCATGACCTGAGCCGAAGGCAGACACTTAACGACGAGCCACCTTTCTCCCTTTTCTTGTTTTGTATGTTCAGATTACTAGGAAACCTTCCTTACAGCACTCACTGACATCCTTTGCCCTGTAAGGGCATCATTGTATTCACAGATGCAGTCCCAGAGATTGCACAGCAAAATATGTACAGTATGTACAATGAGCCTGAAGTGTGTTTCAGTAAAATGCAAACGACACTTAAATTTTTTCATAGAACTCTTGAGGAAATACCAGCCATCCTCTGAAAAACACTGATGGGGGAGGGTTCTGAGCATTTCCAGTCTCACCTTTTTAATTTTTTATTTATTTTTTTAAAAGATTTATTTATTTAGGGGCACCTGGGTGGCTCAGTCGTTAAGCGTCTGCCTTTGGCTCGGGACGTGATCCCAGGGTCCTGGGATTGAGCTCCGCATCAGGCTCCCTGCTCAGCGGGAAGCCTGCTTCTCCCTCTCCCACTCCCCCTGCTTGTGTTCCTTCTCTCGCTGTGTCTCTGTCAAATAAATAAATAAAATCTTTAAAAATAAAAAAGATTTATTTAGAAAGAGCACGCGCGTGCGAGGGGGCGTGGGGGGGGGCAGAGGGAGAGGAGGAGAGAGAATCTAAAGCAGACTCCCTCGCTGAGCTCAGAGCCTGACACAGGGCTCAATCTCACCACCTCAAGATCCCGACCTGAGCCGAAATCAAGAGTTGGATGCTTAACCAATTGAGCCACCCAGGTGCCCCTCCAATTTCACATTTTTTTTATTTATTTATTTATTTTTTAAAATGAAGAGACTTTTTTTTTTATTATTAGAACGAGAGAGAGCATGAGAGGGGGGAGGGTCAGAGGGAGAAGCAAATTCCCTGCAGAGCAGGGAGCCTGGTACGGGACTCGATCCTGGGACTCCAGGATCATGACCTGAGCCGAAGGCAGTCGCTTAACTGACTGAGCCACCCAGGCGCCCCCCAATTTCGTATTTTAAAACAGGAATCCTGGGCGCCTGGGTGGCTCAGTCGTTAAGCGGCTGCCTCCTGCTCAGGTCAGAGTCCTGGGATCGAGTCCCACATCGGGCTCCCTGCTCAGCGGGAAGCCTGCTTCTCCCTCTCCCACTCCCCCTGCTTGTGTTCCTGCTGTCGCTGTCTCTGTCTTTGTCAAATAAATAAAATCTTAAAAAAAAAAAAAAATCTTTAGAACCAACTCAGTAATGTGACGATCTCTGAAATCTCCTGCTGTACAAATACTAATTCATTTATAAGGCTGGAGAAGAGAAGACAGGACTGGAGGCAAAAAGAGATGGCCTGGTGGACAGGCTGGAGGTGAACAAGGCCGATTTTTGAGGCTGGGATGCAAAACTGAGGCCTTGGACTGTGCCACAGCCAGTCTGATTTCAGCAAGTAACAAAAGGAATACCTTTCTAACAGTATTCATACACAGTGTGGCCCCTTGTTCAGGACACTGTAACAAGTCTTAACTTAGTATAGAAGATGCAACTAAATAATCAATGAAATCCTGTCTAAGATTTTACAATTACAATTAGGCATTAAAACCATGTTCTTCAGAAGTGTTACGAAAATAAAGTCAGCCAGAAAGCCAGTTAAACTGTGTTTTTGCCGCCTCCTCATTAAAACTTACGCCTTCTCAGATATTTTTAATTTGTATGTTAAATTGTATCTTGACTTCATTTGACTAACTGGAGTTTTTCTCCCCTACAGTGAGAGGGTCCAAGCCCGGTAAGAATGTCCAGCTGCAGGAGAATGAAATCCGAGGACTGTGCTTAAAGTCCCGAGAGATCTTTCTCAGTCAGCCTATCCTACTAGAACTTGAAGCACCACTCAAAATATGTGGTAGGTTTGGGCACATGGACAGTTGCCTTTGATTGTGCAATTGATCAAGTGACTCGAGGATATATAGATGCCTTTGTGTTGCCAGCAGAATCGTTTGCTATTTATGAACAACCTGCAACTACTTAAATAATTTTAGCTTTAGAATTAATACCTCTAATGGACTTAGTGTACTTAGATGTGCTTCAGATTTTCTAAAAATTGTTTGACTAAAGGAATATAAACATTGCAGTAGAAAGGAAAGAAATGACACCGGAGAGCTAAGAAAAGGTCTGAACTATATGAATATATAGGAATTACATTTAAGCTTAAAGCAAGACTGGCTATGCTTAAAAATAGACTTTCCTTGATGCCGTTTTGTAGTCTGTTTCTACATGATAGATGCAGATAATCCGTATAAAAACTGAAGTTCATCTGAGTAATGCTAAATATTCTAGCACATTTGACTACATTGATAAAGCTTCTATGTATGATTTTAAAGTTGAATGCTCTTTGGCATTATCTAGCAGGGGGAAATTGAAAGCTGAATGAATTGGTGGGTGTGGTGTGTGTACCTTTGTTCATGCAGGTCTGGGGCTCACTAGCAACGCAGCAGTTCTGCTGACACAGTAACCTGCAGGCTGAGCTGCCGGAGATGTGATAGTGGTCAGCCAGCCTGAAAGGAAAGCCATGTCACTTGGCAAGAAGGCCTGCCTAGGCATTAATAATCCTTTCCACGAAATTAATTCTTAATTAGTTGAGTTTTGTGTGAGATTCTGGACATAAACATACTCTTAAAATTGTTATTAAGCTCAGTTGAACTAAAACATGATACAAGTTTGGAAATTAGTGTTAGCCGTCAAATTTAACTCCTAATTATTAGAGGTCAATCCAGTTATGCAATGCATGTTTAAAGAACGTCTCTCCAAGGGAGGGGGGTGGGAGGAGGGGTTAGCCTGGTGGTGGGTATTGAGGAGGGCACATTCTGCATGGAGCACTGGGTGTTATGCACAAACAATGAATCATGGAACACTTCATCTAAAACTAATGATGTAATGTATGGGGATTAACATAAGAAAAAAAAAAAAAAAAAAGAATGTCTCTCCAAAACTTTGTTAGTGGATTGAACAGTAAGTATGAGGGCACTGTGTAACTGAATTCTTGCTTCTAGGTGATATCCATGGGCAATACTATGATTTGCTTCGACTTTTCGAGTACGGTGGTTTCCCACCAGAAAGCAACTACCTGTTTCTTGGGGACTATGTGGACAGGGGGAAGCAGTCACTGGAGACTATCTGCCTCTTACTGGCTTACAAAATCAAATATCCCGAGAATTTTTTTCTTCTCAGAGGAAACCATGAATGTGCCAGCATCAATAGAATTTATGGATTTTATGATGAATGTAAGTACTTTCTACATCTAAGGAAGACTGACTTAAACTGAGATACTTGATCATAAACTGCATATATTCTGTTAGGATTTGTGAGCGTTTCAGATGGAATGTTATAATCTATCATTTTTTATTTCATTAACTTCTTAGTTTTTTCTTAAGGTAAAAAAATAACACTGCCACTACAGTATAATAATGCCCTAGATTCTTTTATGATGTGACTATTAGATTAAGAAGTAATGGTCGCAGTGGTGGCTTCTTTAAGATCATCATTGAACTTAATTCTTAGTACAGGTCTGAGAACCTGTCCAAATAGATAGTTTTGTTTTTAACAACTTTATTGAGATATAATTTCATTCCATAAAATCTGTCTGTTTTAAGTATACAGTTCAGTGATTTTTAGTAAATTTATAGGCAAGCACTAATCTGCTTTCGTCCTCTGTAGATTTGCCTTTTCTAGTTATTTCACATAAATGGTATCTTCAAATACACAAATGATTTCTTTTGTGTGTGTGTTTGTTTTTTTTTTTTTCCTTCTGGCACATGTGCACCCAGGACAAATGGCAGTTATTATCCTAAAATATGCTGAAAGGAGAAAGTGAAATTAAAAACAAAAAAAATTGTGTAACATTTTATACATAATTATGACCCATTTTGGATTGTATAGTTGAAGGTACACTTTGAGTTGGTAATTGATAAAAAACAAGATTCTTAAAGCCTTAAAAATTGCCAGTTTTGGTGGAATTGTTGTTGTTATTGTAGTGTTAATAAGTATAAAATGTTTAAGGGGGGGTGAGTTGGGTCCTTACCCCATCCTTTTGTGCTTATCATTTCTGCTAGGAGAGGCTTCAGGCAGGGAGGAGAGAAGTGGTTAAGGAATTTGAGTTACTACATTTGCCAGTGATGATAACAAGACCAGTAAAGAATTGTCACTAGCCCTCCCCCACCAGACTGTAGTCATAACCTGTAATGTGGTGTTTTTCCATCTCAGTTCCACATAGATGTATTCAGCTAGCTCATTTGTTAGAAGTGCACTGCTAGAAAGATTGTATTTCTAGACTTAGCTCTCCTACTCTCACCCTCTCCCATAATTGTATGTTTGCCTGGTCTGAGGCCCTGAGACCCAGCTGGTAAGATGAGGTGGGGAGGGATCACCAAAGAAAAATCTAATGGGTTCTGAACTAACTAGGTCAACTGAGTCTGTGGCCAGAAAGGTGGTGGTGGTGGTTGTTTTTAAGTAATCTCTACACACAACGTGGGGCTTGAACTCACCACCCCAAGATCAAGAGTTAGATGTTCTACCAACTGAGACAGCCAGATGCCCCAAGAAAGATACTTGATTTTGACAATGAGTCTATCAGAGAAGTACTGGTAAAGCAGTTATTACTCCTAAGGTAGTGAGATGAGAGGCAGCAAGTTTTATAAATTGTGTTTTGGTATTTGTTACAGGTGCTACTTTTTAGAACAAGTTAAGAAAAGGTTCCTTTTATATGCTGCTGTTCAGCAAGTACTTTGATGTTTTTTTCATTGATGAAGTTCAAATCCAGATACTCTGTTACATATATCCAAGTGAAGATATTAGCAATGTTGTTTTCAGTTTCTATTTAATGCAGAAGACTTTAAAAATTATTTTAGATGGTCAACATTGGTTGGTTTCTTGTCTGGTCATCAAGACTTACTGATTAACCTTGTGCTCAAGCTCCCCTCACCTCCCCCCGCCCATCATCAGGCAGGTATAACTTGCCATCCAGTCTACTTATGGGCAGAGCAGTGTCCTTGACATAGGTGGCTTTCGATTGATGGTTGCAGACTTTTAAAAAAACTGTTGAAAATTTTATTAAAATTTTACTTTAAGTTAAAAGTTGAGAAGCTTTATTAAAATGTAGATTTTCGGGGCGCCTGGGTGGCTCAGATGGTTAAGCGTCTGCCTTCGGCTCAGGTCGTGATCCCAGGATCCTGGGATCGAGTCCCTTGAGCCCGCTTCTCCCTCTGCGCCTCTCTCTCTCTCTCTCTCTCTCTCTCTCTCTGTCTCTTACGAATAAATAAATAAATAAAACTTTAAAAAAAAATGTAGATTTTCATGGAACAATTTAAAACCACTGCTTTAGGTGATAGGCTTATTTCACAAGTATAATAAGCACTCTTTCTCCCTCCAACCCCCACCCCAACTTTTTTATAAAGAGTATAGTCCTGGAAAAGCTGGGGAGTCTGTTGTTAGATAAAATGTGAATATGTGTTATCCCTTTCTGATACCAGAGCAGTCTGATCTGTAGTAATAGGAAACTGCATTAGGGATTCTGGCTCAGAGTCCCTGGATTTGGAAGCTTGAAGAGACCTTGGCAGTTATCCAGGCTAAACCTTTCTGGAGCCAGATGTTCTTACTGGTCTGAAGTGACCTTAGGGAGGAAGTGTAGAGAGAACAGAAAACAGGGCCCTAGGACTTAGTTAAGATGCTCAGAGGCAACAGGAGGAAGAATCCTAATTTTTGTTGAAGGAGCCAGGAAAGGTAGCAAAGGAATCTGCAAGACAAACTGGAGTGTGTTGCATGAATAAAGAATCATGGAGCAAAGCAGACTTCAAGAAGGGAGAGGATTCGTTGGCACTGGCAAATGCAGCACGTGCGCAAAGGAAAAATCCAAGCGAGCCATTGGGTGGTCATTCAGAGGAAAATAGGAGACAGAACCAAATCGCTTTTATGAATGGAGGTTAGGACCAGCCCAGCCTTGTTCTTCTGTCATTTTACTTTTTAAGTAAAAGGTTCCCTTTCAGCCTTTTGTAGAGAAGAATTCTGTCTGGCTTCCAGAACCCTCCAGTGAAGGAAGATAAGGAATAGGGAATTAGTGACCTCCAAAGAAATACAAAACAGGGTGAACCATGGTGAGAGTTATACCCAGTCATAGAAAAAACATAAACTATTAAAAGGAAAGACGACAGTTCTATGCAAAGGGAGAAGTCAAGTGTTTGTTGAATTTGCATTACATTCCAAACCCTGTGCTAAATTCCATACCTGACTTGATTTGCAGTAGAGTGGAAGGTGTGGTTCAGGAACCTGCTGCTTGGGCCAGTCTAAACTTTCCAAAAAGGTTCAGCTTTAAACCTGTAGATGTCCCGGGCGCCTGGGTGGCTCAGTTGGTTAAGCGACTGCCTTCGGCTCAGGTCATGATCCTGGAGTCCCAGGATCGAGTCCCGCATCGGGCTCCCTGCTCAGCGGGGAGTCTGCTTCTCCTCTCCCACTCCCCGTTTGTGTTCCCTCTCGCGCTGTGTCTTTCTCTGTCAAATAAATAAAATCTTTAAAAAAAAAAAAACCTGTAGATGTCCCTAGAATAAGAAAGGAGAGGAGACAAAGGACAAACTTGGCTTTAGCAATGAAGATTGTGCTTAGATCTTTGGGTTTTCTGGTATGGACGTACAGGAGACAAGGTGACCCACAGTTGGGCCATTCTCAACCCAATTCAGACAGATTTGTGCTTCCAGAATTTATGAGTAGGTTTTTAACTCAGAACGTAATTTGCTTGCAGGAACAGTACCTTAAAGTCATGCTTATGTCCAAATCACACTGTGACTCCAGAATGCAGGGAATACAGGGGCTGGTGAGGGGAATACAAGCACCCTGTAACATCGTTTCTCTGGGGAACGTTCTGAGCATTTGTGGCAGTGTTAGGAACAGTTATCCTGGTGTGCCTGCTACTAGAGTATGTAGAGCTGGGAATTATCTGGTACCAGTAAGCTCTTGATGATAGTGAGAGATGGGATGGGTGTCAACTCTCAGAAGCTTCCTCAGAAGGAAGATGGTAATGGCACATGTGTAAGCTATTCATAATTGCCTCTGGGTTGAGATTGGACAAAACATGCTAGGTTCCAAACAGAGTTTGTTCTACCAAATAATTATTGGGGGTTAATGATAATCCTTAATCATTGCATTTGGGATTCTGATTTCACACTTCTTTGGGATTTTAAAGTATAGCTAGATCTGCTAAACCTATCCTCCAGGGAATTTTTAATAAAAGCATAGTTCTTGTTTACTTAAAAAGTAATTAGCATCTTACTTTGGGAGAAATTGTCCTAAGAGAACGAACCTACAGAACACCAGTCTTTTTAACCATCCTAAAATTTTCACAGGTAAAAGAAGATATAACATTAAACTATGGAAAACTTTCACAGACTGCTTTAACTGTTTACCGATAGCAGCCATCGTGGATGAGAAGATATTCTGCTGTCATGGAGGTATGTGGGCTAATTTTAGTTGCAAATAGGTTTTGTTCCCTTCTGAAGGGGGTACACTTAGACATTTGAGTTGTCGTTGGGATGACTTCTCTGTCAGGTGACTCTCCTTTATTGATGTGTTACACCATGGGTCCACTCTGGTGCATCTAGGATCATTTGGATAGAAATCTGAAGTAAGAAATTGATTCGTTACAGGGAATTCTAGGCTCTGTAACAGTTTGACTTGAAAATAGAGCAGAAAGTGTTTTTAAATATAAAGTGAAGAGCAATTAATATGCTGTATCATAGAATCTCCAGAATACTGAAAATGTGAGTAGACTTTCCTTGGTCTGTTTTTGATCCTCTTCTTTTAGAAATTGTTGACTTGGATTTTAAAAGCGATTTTATTTTTCTCCATGGTTGTGCTTTGTATAACATAATTAAATAGTAATTGTGAAAAAGGATTTCTTTTCACCCTTGGTCAGAAATTATAATGACAACTGTCAAAGAGCCGACACAATGTATTTTAATAAAGCCATTATCCCTGCCCTCGTATACTTCAGCTGGTTTTGGTAGAGCTGGGCATGTGATTTTTAAAAATTTTTTAATTTTATTTATTTTAAGTAAACTCTACCCCCAACATGGGGCTTGAACTCAAAACCCCGAGATCAGGAATTGCAGTGGGCTCAACCCACTGAGCCAGCCAGGTGCCCCTGGGCATGTGATTTTAAATTCAGATGAAAGTCAGCTACATCGAAGCTGGTCTGATGATTTGATGGTACTTGGACAGCACAGGTTTCCTGGAAAGCTACATCATACCTGAGTATCTGCACCCTTTACACCTAGTCATTACAAATGGTCGATAATAAAATCTAGAATGTACATTGTTCATTATTATCATCAAAGGAGTTGAGGAGTGGTTGTCTATAAATCACTGGATTTTAATTTTTAGGGCTCTGTATATTGAGGTAACTGATTCCATATACCATTTAGACATATTGTGCCTCACAGATTGGTGCATATAATAAATTCTAGTGCTTTTTCAGTTTTTTTTATTTTAAACCAAAGCTAAATAAGAAAACCTAACCATAAAAAAAAAAAAATCATAGCCATAGATTTAAGCCCTCCATGTTGGAGTCATTGAGTCCCTCTGTAAGCAAATGGAACTGTTAAAGTGAAGTTCTGTTTTCTTCCAAAAAAAATTTTTTTTTCATTTAATAGGTTTATCACCAGATCTTCAATCTATGGAGCAGATTCGGCGAATTATGCGACCAACTGATGTACCAGATCAAGGTCTTCTTTGTGATCTTTTGTGGTCTGACCCCGATAAAGATGTCTTAGGCTGGGGTGAAAATGACAGAGGAGTGTCCTTCACATTTGGTGCAGAAGTGGTTGCAAAATTTCTCCATAAGCATGATTTGGATCTTATATGTAGAGCCCACCAGGTATTGACTTTGAATTTTACATGTACACTTAAGAGCATGTGTGTGAGCACAGATTCTCCTTGTTGGTTTTAGTGGGTAGGTATTGCTTATTCATACAAAATGTCTCTGCAAGTGACCTGTAGGATATCAGGCTCAATGGGAAACTGAAAAGTGGTTTTACTCACCTGCAATTTACACCTACTTACTCTAAAACCATTTTCTCTCCAAGGTGGTTGAAGATGGATATGAATTTTTTGCAAAGAGGCAGTTGGTCACTCTGTTTTCTGCACCCAATTATTGTGGAGAGTTTGACAATGCAGGTGCCATGATGAGTGTGGACGAAACTCTAATGTGTTCTTTTCAGGTAGAGGATGCTTTCAGCATTGTTTCCTACTATTATGTCTAAATTTTACTGATTTTTTTTTAAAAATTGCTATTTTCTGCCTACTGTTCATTTATGTTGAGTAGACTAAATTTTTATTTTCCCATACAAGTGTTTGTCCTAATTCTGTAATCAGTGGACCCCTTTTAAGGGGAAAAAAATTGTCAGGGAACCTTTCCTGCTGTGTTGAATTTAACTGTTTTTACATTATTTAAATGGGGTAAAAAACCAATTTATTGGCTCCTCATGCTTAGAGTTCCTTTGCTATAAATCTAAAACTTATGTCAATATAATGTTCAGCTAAAATTAAATCCCCGCTTGTATGTGAGAATAGAACTAACTGCCACACAGATGTGCTGTGTGATTACTCCCTTCTCCCACCACTTTTCTTTAATTTCCACAAGACTGATTCACCATGACATCATTTGGCCTTCACTTGGCACAAAAGTATCATTTACACACAAAGTCTGTCTGAGTCTTTTTCTCGCTCTCTTACTACAATTAAACTTGTACAACTTCAGGCTAGCCCAGTCATAATCATAAGTAAAGCCACTGAAGTCACGTGGCAGTCATCAGTTAAATGTTGTTTTACCAACTATGGGGGAGAACTTGCAGCTCCCAGAGACTATGAGAGGGCCCCCTGTGGGTTTGAGAAACACTGCTCTGGAGAACTCTCCACCCCACCCCCGTGTCAGAGGGGATAGCCTAGACATACTACAATAACTGACTTCAGAAAATTGTCATTTTATCCAGAGGCAAAATAATTTGTCCTCTGTTCATCATAGCATTTATTACCAAAATGTTTACATGTTAACATATTAACATGGTACATTAATATGTTAGTGGGGTTTTCAAGAGTTGTTGGGTCAGTTTTAAATGGTCAGAGACCTTTCTGAACAAAAGATTTGAGTGAGATTTAAGAAATCTTAAGATTTGGGGTCGAGAATATTTCCTAAAATGCACTTACCTTTGAATCTTTGCAGATTTTAAAACCTGCAGAGAAAAAGAAGCCGAATGCCACGAGACCTGTAACACCTCCAAGGGGTATGATCACAAAGCAAGCAAAGAAATAGATGTCATTTTGACACTGCCTAGTTGGGACTTGTAACATAGAGTATATAACCTTCATTTTTAAAACTGTAATGTGTATTGGTCAGCTTGCTCACATAGTGTGTTTGTGGGGCCCCCTTCCATTTTTTGAGTTAATGAATGGCATTTGCTGGTTATAACAGCAAATGAAAGACTCTCCACTCCCAAGAAAAAATGTTTTGTCTTTTTTAATTCTGTATTCCTTTTGCAAACAACTTTAATGATGGTGTTAAAGCTGTACACCCCAGAACAGTTTATCCTGTCTAAGGGGTAAGTGTACAATTGATCTTTTTAAAATTCAGTTCAACCCATGAATAATGTAAATGCTCGTTTTCTTTAGGATATAAAGAGAGCCCTAGGGTGCTCAATCTGTACATGTTATTGTCATAAAATGCATACTGTTGATACAAACCACTGTGAACATATTTTTTTTAAAGTTTTGTTTCAAAGGGATTGCTTTTTTTCTCTCATTGTCTTGTCATGTACAAACTAGTTTTTATAGCTATCAACATTAGGATTAACTCAACCTTGCCAGCATCACTGGCATGATGTATATTTAATTAAAGCACACTTTCCCTACCGTATACTCAAAATGACGATTAAAGCCATTATTTTAAATGTTTGTGACTCTTTCCTAAAGCCAAAGTTTCTGTTGAAATACGTCTTGACAAACCCCTAAGTACAAGGTGGCGTGGTTGTGTACACATGCCACCTTCTTGGGGATTCAAAAACAGGTTTTTGGTTTTGAATAGCAATTAGTAACATAGTGCTGTTTAAGCTATTAATGATTAAAGTTAATAACATTTTGTACAATTTCCATATAGTCTATTCATTAAGTAATTTTTTTACAGTTACATCAGGCCTGAACCCGTCCATTCAGAAAGCTTCAAATTATAGAAACAATACTGTTCTATACGAGTGACCGATTATGCTTTCTTTGGCCTACATTCTTTATTCTGCGGTGAAGTTGAGGCTTATAAGTCAAAACAAAGGAACTAACTTAATATCCACCAGTTTATACAGAACTCACAGTATCTATGACTTTTTTAAACTAAGATCTGTTAAAAAGAAATCTGTTTCAACAGATGACCGTGTACAAGACCATGTGGTGAAAATGAATTCAGACTTATTAAACGACGAACTTGTTAAATCCTCTCAGTGTCTATTTATCAGCACAATACACACAGGAGAACTGTTGATGGCATATTGAATAGATTTTAATGAATAAATTGCTCTGGAAACCACATAGTTTCAATTTGGATTTGTTTTCCTTCAAATAGTCTGTTTTCCAAAGATGGATTATAATACGGATGCTCATGTTTGTGGAGTTCTAACCGGGATGTAAGTACGTTTCTGAAGTAGGGTGATACGATTGAGCTCTCCTCCTCCCCTGCCGTTTGGGAGGTGGGGGGCTTGGTGAGCTGCCATGTCACCTGCATCCATAGTTTAATGTTGGTCTGGGTTCAGTTGAACAACCGCTTTCTTTTTAGGACTCAACCACCAGTGTTTGCATGCATAGTTCTTTGCTCTCTTCTCGGTTCCCTGATTCGTATGGAACACAGTGTTGTGTCATATTACATGTGTCACAAGTGTGTCAAATGGATATTCATTTCTCAAAGTACATTAAAAGTGAGTGAAGAGCATGTCACTTGCAAAGCACTTTCTTCTCTCAAAAACTGGCTTCGCTTAGAGTGCCAGTGGTGGCATGTGGAGGGAAAAGCATAGGGCTGCTGGGGTCCAGTCTCCTGTCCGCACTAACGGTCTGTGGTCCTGAGACATTGGCCACATCTTGCCCCTTAAGCATGCTTCTCTGTCAGGGAGGGAGGTTGGACCTCCTGACCTCTTGTGCCTTCTCATTCCACATTCTGTGACAGATCCAAACTTGTATTATTTTAATTTCTTGTCATATTCTCCCGTCTCCTCCTTTATAGGAAGAAAGATGAGCAGTAATTGATTATGTCAAAGGCAGATTTCATGTGCTATTAATCTGTGCCCTGGACGTTATCATTTGTGTCACTTGTAGGATTTCAAAATTCTGTAGTTATAAAATTGGGCTACTCTACTCAGGTGATAGAGCATGGAGTGTGGTGGCTTGCTTAAATTCTTTCAGAAAGAACACATAGCTCCAGGTAAGTAGGAAACAAAATCAGTCTTTGTTTTAGGACATGAGATCTTAGGAGAGGCTCATAATTTGAAACTAGTATGTGACAATAGAACTTGAGGCCTTGCCTTATAAATCCCAGTCTGCCCTAACCTTACTTTCTCATTTGTTACTTCTCTTCATGTGCATCTGAATCACATCTGCCTTTGTTCCTTTCTTAAATGTGTGATTTGAGTGAGTGACTTAAATGCTGAGCCACAGTGTCTCTTATAAACCAGGGAGTGTACCTGCCTCATTGTGAATCTTGAATGAAATGATGTGATATGCTCAGAGTGATGCTTGACTCATAATAGTATCATTCACTATTTGTTGCTTTATAATTAATCTCAGTTGTTTCATATGGTTGAAAACTCGGCTGGCCGGGTTCTAAATAGCACCTGCCTATTACATATAGGCCTATAATGACCTGATACTAAGCCGTGGACAGCCAAGCAACTGTGAGCACTGACTGCACATTAAACACCTGTATTTTCAGCAAATACAAAAGAAACAACCAGGAAACATGAAGTTGTTGCAATTATTAGTGTAATATTTTAAATTCTAGTTTTACGTATTCTTGATCTGAAGATGACCGCACCAGTATACCACCATTCAGAAGGGTGACAGCTATGCTATGTAGCTAAATAGTCTATATAATACAGTTGAAACCCATCGTTTGAAATCACTGGTTTGTGCCTACTTAACTAGGCCTGCCCGTGTCTAGCTGCAGTGAACAGCACAGATGCTGACATGGCATACTTCACAAGTCACGGAGACATAAATGGAATGTGGGACATGGGAATGAGGAACAAACGATTGAGTGTTGAGTCATGAAGAAAGCACAGAATTCAGACTGACGGAAGGGAAGAGCTACCACCTGAGTTTTCCTCTGGGACCATGATGAGAGGCTGAAAGGAAACTGCTGGGAAGTGAAGAGAAAATAATAGCTGGCAAACGGAGGCAGAATGGGCAAGAGCTCTTTCCAAAGAGTGGGTTAAAAGGTTTGAAGTTCTGGGGCGCCTGGGTGGCTCAGTCGTTAGGCATCTGCCTTCGGCCCAGGTCGTGATCCCAGGGTCCTGGGATCGAGCCCTGCATCGGGCTCCCTGCTGCATGGGGAGCCTGCTTCTCCCTCTCCCACTCCCCCTGCTTGTGTTCCCGCTCTCGCTGTGTCTCTCTGTCAAATAAATAAATAAAATCTTAAAAAAAAAAAAAAAAAAGGTTTGAAGTTCTATATGCTCATTTCCCCACCTCCTACGAAAAGACAGACCCAAAGCTCATTCAGCCTTGCAAACCAGCCAGCTGGAATCTGCGGAGATCATGATTCGCTTCTTTCAGCTCTGTAAATCAGATGTACACATCAGCCTAGAGCAGAAGAATAGGACACCCCAACCCCAGGCTTTGCTTTCTTCACGTGTAAGATAGAAAACCAGAATACTGAGGGATTGTGAAGATTGAAAACCCAAAAAAGTGCCTAATACTTGGCTTACACATAATGAGCATTGAGTAAGCATCTGTAAGACACCAAAGAATGTTTCTAAGATTTACATCAATGGAGAAAAAAAAAGGAACTTACTTGGGAAAACTTGTCCAGACATAGGCAAAAACCAGTTTTCATTCATCCATGCTGGATTATATATGTGAGCTTCAGATGAAGAGTAAAAATGAAGACCTGCTATCAATGCTTTCAACCTCATCCCAAGAGCAATTGAATGAATACTTAGAATTCCTGGCATCCCCGAATCAGTACCTGATTAACAATTGGGTGGTCACAGAGAGGATCACTGTTTATCCGATCAGCACAATAGCTGCAGTAGCTCGAACAGGCATGGCATTTGGATTTATTGCATATATCAAAAATTTCAAATACAGGTAAGCCTTTTAGTTGTGCAGATTTGTCATTTATTGTCAGTTAAAGAATATGTTACAGGATGAAAGCACTTAGTTAATTTTGAACACTTCTGTAATCAAAAAGTTAATAAATGGGAAAATAGATGTTACCTAGATAAGTTTAGGAAGAAATTTAAGCTAACAAAAGTTTTTAAGAGTTTTTAAGTATGAGGCACGCAAACGTTTGGAAATAGATCAATATGGCAAAAATCGTAAGTGCTTCTGAAGATGAAATCTTGCAGTGCACAAAGCTTGAGATGGAGGGATTGTGTACAATTAAATCATTGTCATCAACCAGATTTTTTAAAGTCTAGGAAGAGACAGGAGCTGTTAACCTTAAAATTATTAGGACACGACACTCAGTTTGGTGGGAGGGCCAGCCGCAAGACAACTTGGTCTTCCACCAACCTCAGGTAAAAGCATCTACTTAGTATTATAAACGTGCAGATAACCACAGGAGCAGTAAAGCAGCTGATGGTGCTAAGTTTGGTTCCTACCTAATGTCAAACTTGAGAAAATTCTGACCGTTCAAATAAAATATTTTTTCTGGCTAGATTTCACATTCATTTTGTGTCCCAAACAACCAGTTCTCTAACAGTGATACTCAGCTGCAACCAAATACAGAATTTTAATAAATCATTCAGCCAAGATGTATATTTGGTGCAGCTGTAGAAAAAATTCTAAGGAGCCATTTTAAAGTGTATTCCTTTTTTTCTTCTAGCCACCTAATTAGCACAGTATCAAATACCATGTCTCCCAGAGAGGACCAGCCCACACACCAGTTGTTCAGGGCTACTGTACGAGAGAACAGTAACCAGTCCTTATGTTCTGGGACAGACTGGCTGCTTGACCTTTCCAGCAAAACCCTAGCAAGTTAGGTTTTGTGGGTGTGGCAGGAGAGCAGGTGGGATAAAGAGGTTTCTGCTGAGCTTGGCAGAAGTTCATTTGCTATCTGCTGGAGATTTGCTCCATCCACCAACTCAAAAGAGCCTTTAGAGGAGTCCAATTCTATACCTGTTAGTTACCAAAATGAAATCCCATCTTTCCAAGTTTTGATGACCCACCCACAAACACCAATATCTTCCTTCTCATGTTTAGCGTTAACCCTAATGATTAAGGGATAGCTGGAGTTGACTCAATCTCTCAGTCGGGAGGCCATGCAACGTTGATAAGATGCATGGATTTTGTTCAGCTTGGCTCAGATTGATTTCAAGTCTGCCTCCTGTTTCTATTGTTGTTCTAGGGCCGTGGGGTATTTCTCAAGACAGTGGAATAAGGACAAAAGAGGAAAGAAAGCCAACTATCTTTAAGATTTGCTGCAGTGCAAATTGCTTATTGGGTGCACATTTTGGTCACCTCTGCTTTTACATTTATACAGAGTTGAGAAAGGTGATTTGCATTCTTTTCCCAACTCCAGAAAGCTAGGATTCCTCTAAGACTGCTGTTCATACTCTCTTGACAGGTGGAACCCTTCAAACAAAATCATATCAAAGACATCCATAAAGTGAATAAAATCAGAATGGCTCTAAAAGTAGAGGCTGGGGGCTCGGTGTCCCCCACCAGCTTCAGTCCCCAGGGCCTGAAACCACTGCTTTAAGAGGACTACTGCTTACAGGCCTGGGTTTGTAGACCAGCTTCGGTAAGATGTCAGTACAACTTTAAACTGTTAGAGCTTTCTCAGCTTTGTGATGCCTTGTCTGATAGCTAACTAGCTAAGAAATTTAATCCAAGTACTCTCCCGATAGAAGGTCAAACAGGTAATCACTTCAGGGTTATTCAGCTGCTTTCCCTTCTTAGTATTTCATCATGAGACACAGACTGGGAAAGCATTCTGTAGATCGGAACGCAACATCCTTAGGAGGCCAGGGTTTTTCATTGAGGGGGTTCCAGCACCACTGTCTTTGTTTCTTGATTGTGTGTGTGTGTATAATTTCATTAAATGTATTTCGCTGTGTGTATATCAAGGTATATTACCATTTTATGTGTTACATATTTCATATGCTGTATATTTTTTTAGTGTCTATTTTTTTGTGAAGTATCTGAATACAAAAAGATACATATATGTAAAACACCACAAACCCACTACCTGGGTTAAGAAATAGAATATTACCAATATCTTAGGAGCCCCCTGGTTGTATCTCCCCAATTACACATACTCCCTCCAGAGTTAACTACGGTCTTGAATTTGAGATTAATCATTTCCTTGCTTTTTATTGTGTGTCTCTCTAAACAATATAGTGTTAAATTTTGCCAGTTTTTGAACGTTACATATGCTGTGTGTATTTTTTTGGGAATGGCTTCTTTCAACATTTTCTTTAAATTTGTTTTTAAGTTTTATTCAAGTAATTTCTATACCCAACATGGGCCTCAAACTCAAGACCCCAAATCAAGAGTTGCACGCTCTTCTGACTGAGCCAGAATGTTGCCCCTCAACATTTTTTAAGAGATTTATCTATGTTGACATGCTGAATTCCCATTTTATGTTTTTTGGGGGTATGGTGGTGCATACTTTGTCTTGTCTTTTTTTTCTCTAATTTTTTCTATTTGTTTGAAGTTTATTTTTTATGACTATTCTTTTAGTGTCTACCCTAGTACTAGTTCTAATGCGCATTATTAGCTTTAGAAGTTACTATCTTTGCACTTCACATTCTCTTTCCTTTGGGATTGATGGTAAGGCATGTGTTAGACCCCATTCTTCCATTTCCTTGTAACCTCTCTCTTCCATCTCTGTCCCTGTGATTTGCATTCTCAATAATATCTTCAGCTATAGCTTCTAGTTTACTAATTTTCTCCTCACTTGTGCCTAATCTAACCCAGCCACTGAATTTTTTTATTTTAATTACTGTATTTCAAGTTCTGTTTTTGGTTGTTTGTTTTTCAAAAATCTGCTTGGTCATTCTTTGTCATTTTTCCCTGCTAATCTTTTGAAACTTATATTCTATTCCTCTAAGTATAATAACCATGGTTATTTTATATTCCATCTGATTATTCCAATATCTGAAGTCTCTGGGGGTCTGTTTCATTTGTTACTCCTACTGGTTTTTCATTGTTGTTTCCGTGTGTTTTGTGACTTTTGAGTAGGAGTTGCTCATTTTTCCTTGCATTTTTACCCAGGAGCAATCTCCGTGGCCTGAATGGAAGTTGAGTTCTTCTGTCAGTCAAGATTGAGTTTGCCTCCGCAGGTAGACTAGAACAGTGATATTACAGAAACTTTAAATTCCTCACTTGAAATTTTTCAGATCATACAGGTATCATGAAATTGGGCCTCAAACCTATACATCCTAGTTGTGAATTCTCAGGAGAGAGCTTTTTATTTCCCTCTACCGAGTGCCAGGGTCAAGATAGGCAAGGTTCTTTGCTATCTCCTTATGTGTGGCAGGGTTATTTCTTCTTTATCTTTATGCCATATTCCCAGCTGTATTCAGGGTCCACTATAATTAGGTTGAACCGTGTGATGCCTACAAAATTCAGCAGTGTCCTAAAGTTGGGGCAAAAAACCCCAGCAACTTTCTAATAGACCTTGAGTAGGTCCTGGCCTTTATCCCCTTCCCCAGGAGCCCTAGAAAGTCATAAAAACTGAAGCAGAGGGGTGCGTGGGTGGCTCAGTCGTTAAGTGTCTGCCTTCAGCTCGGGTCATGATCCCAGGGTCCTAAGATCAAGCCCTGTGTTGGGCTCCCTGCTCGGCAGGAAGCCTGCTTCTCCCTCTCCCACTCCCCCTGCTTGTGTTCCTGCTCTCACTATCTCTCTGTCAAATAAATAAAATCCTAAAAAAAAAAAAAAAAACTGAAGCATAGGGTCTCTGGGGTTTTGTAGAAGTCTTGAAGACAGAAGCTATTTTGGTGCTCCCCTGCCTCCCAAAGCTCAAGGTTCCTATTTCCACTTTGTTTAGGGATCAATCTGTTAATCCCCTTAATGCCAGCCCTGAAGTCTATTTTTTATTTATTTATTTTTAAATATTTTATTTATTTATTTGACAGAGAGCACAAGTAGGCAGAGCAGCAGGCAGAGGGAGAGGGAGAAGCAGGCTCTCTGCCGAGCAGGGAGCCGGATGTGGAGCTCAATCCCAGGACCCCGGGATCATGACCTGAGCCTAAGGCAGCCACTTAACCGACTGAGCCACCCAGGCACCCCGTGAAGTTTACTTTTTAAAAACAGACTTTTTATGGGGCGCCTGGGTGGCTCAGCTCATTAGGCATCCGCCTTCGGCTCAGGTCGTGAACCCAGGGTCCTGGGATCGAGCCCCATATCCGACTCCCTGCTCAGCGGGGAGCCTACTTCTCTCCTCCCCATTTGTGCTCTCTGTCGCTATCTCTGTCTCTCAAATAAAATCTTTATTTATTTATTTATTTTTTTTTATTTTTTTTTTATTTTATTTTTTAGAGAGTGAGCGAGAGAGAAACAGCATGAGAGGGGAGAGGGTCAGAGGGAGAAGCAGGCTCCCCACTGAGCCGGGAGCCCGATGTGGGACTCGATCCCAGGACCCTGGGATCATGACCTGAGCCGAAGGCAGACGCTTAACCATCTGAGCCACCCAGGTGCCCTAAAATCTTTTTTTAAACATACTTTTTATATTTGATTTAACATTTTAGTTGTTTTAGTCAGAAGGGTCTGTCTCTCAGGATCTTTCTCCATACTTTGGAGAGATAGTTGATCTAATTAAGCTGAATCCTTGGCATTGTTTTTACTGCTGTTTTACAAATTCAGACATACCACCACTTAAACCCAGAGA